ACAGGAAGAGGACGGGGCCAGATCTCGCTACTGCTGGACCGCCCCTCAAGCAGCCTCTCTTAGACCTCTTGACACCCCGTTCAACTCCGGGTACAGAGGCAAATGTATTTGGTGCAAACAACGGGTCCGTTTATGCGCCCAAGCATTCAGCCGCTATTATAGCGGGAAAAATAAAACACAAACATTTTCAAAAAGAGAGCAAACTTCCTCTTCCATTACTCACAAGTGTTCTGCCCCGGTGCGGCCAGTCACTTGAGTTAATTCAACCCCTCGCCACACGGGCCGGGGCCTGGCAAGGCCATCCCCGGAGTGTCGAGATGGCTTATGGGGATAATAAAACGAGGATATTCACTCCAATGCGCTCGAAGACCCCCGCGCTTCAGCGGCGTGGTCCCCACCTCAGTGCAAAGCAAGGACGCTCACGTCCTGCGCTCAGAGGTGATGAATCTGCTGGAAAAGGTTCCTCCAGCCCAGAGCGAGTCAGGCTTGTACAGCCGTTAATTCCTCGTCCCCAAAAAAGATGGTGGATTTAGACACCTAAATCACGCCCTCATGAAAAGGTCGTTCAGGATGATTTCACTGAAACAGATCCTTGCGCAAATTCGCTCAGGAGACTGGTTCTTTTCTCTGGACCTGAAGGATGCATACTTTCATATCCAGATAGCCCCCTGTCACAGGCGATTCCTGAGATTCGCGTTCGAGGGAGTGGCTTATCGATACACGGTCGTTCCCTTCGGGCTGTCCCTGGCCCCCCGCACTTTTACGAAGTTCATGGACGCGGCTCTCTCCCCTCTGAGACAGATGGGAATCCGCATTCTCAACTACCTCGACGACTGGCTCGTTCCGGCCCAGTCGGAGGCAGAATTAATATCACACAGGACCCTCCTCCTCAGCCACCTGGAGTGCTTGGGACTCAGGGTCAAATTTGCCAAGAGCACATTGTTCCCCAGCCAGCGAATATCGTTCCTGGGAACAATTTTCGACTCAGCCCAAATGAGAGCTGTAGTCGCGCCGGAACAGGCTCTGGCCATACAGAGGCTGGCGACCTCCTTCGAGATTGGTACCACTCGCCCTCTCAAAGCGTTTCAAA